CAGTAATCTGCGACTTTGCTCTCGCGCCTCTAATTCCACAATCCTTTTTCAATAGGATCAAGCATGCTTGCAAAGTAAATTAGGGTATTCAGGCGTAATAGCAAGCCATGACAGCGGAAAAAGAAATCTTCCTTACACTATGACCTCCCATACTGCCCCTCCACCCAAGCTTCACTGTAGTAAGGTCACTTGAATTACACATTTACTGCAAAATTGAAAAAAAAACGAACTGGAAAGAACGCTCACCGCACTCTCAGCATCCGGAGCGATTCGTTTGAATTTATACTGGAGATAATTTGCACATACTTTAACCTCACCACCTGTATCCACATTCCTCGCAGTCAAAAATACAAAGCTTGTAGCATATCCATTAGTTGCTCTTCCAGCCTAAACAAATACAAGTTCTCACATGAAACGGTTTCAGGGTGCACCATAGAATTGAACTCCAAAGTAACGATAAGATAGTCCAAAACGGAAACAATACGGTATCGGTCCGAAAATCAAAGGGCAGAGTTGCAGTCTTGTTCGCTGCGCATGAAGGGGGGAGTCAAGCTGGATGGGTTGGCTCGGCACCAAACCCGTTTTTTGTCGATTGTAGAAGCGAGCAAGCGACGAGATTTTATGATCCACCAATTGTTGCTGCTCAACCGCTTCAACAATTGGTGGAGAACAGGCGCTGTGCCAATCCCATCCCGCATGACACACCCCTTCATCTGCACCGAACCAGACTATCTCTTGTTACAAAAAATAAGAGACTATACAAAAAAAGGGCACTATTCAACTATTACCACCCCAGTTTTGAGAAAACAGGCCGGATCTTGATCGACTTTTTTCTACGGAGCAAATTTGGCTGAAATTTGGGTTCGGGGGTAATTCGACCTCGTGAACACGAATATCACATCCACTTGGCCTGAAAGTGCCTGGCGCCCGCGCCACAGGCGCCAGTGATTTAGGGCATTTTGGCGCCGGCGCCTGTGGCGCGGGCGCCAGGCAGTTTCGGGAGGAGCTCGTGGTATTCGTGTTCAGGAGGTCGAATTACCCCTAGAACCCAATTTTTTCAGCCAAATCTGTCCGCGTAGAAAAAAAGTTGATCAAGATCCGGCCCTTTTTGGGAAACTGGGATAGTAATAGTTGAACAGTGCCAAAAAAATTAATAAAACAAATGGAAGAATTGAACATAAGAAAAGGAAAACAAAGGAAAGAAAATTACAGAAAAGAAAAACAGTGTAGAATAAATGCAAACCTCACCTCGCAATAGCCTAGTATCAGTGTTAATAACAACAAGATCTTGTAGGTCATGTAGAACTGCATCCCACTCAACGGGAAGATTGATCGAACAGGTTAAGGAACACCTGGATCCGAGTTGGCGGGTCAACTTCCTAGACCGAAAGACTATGCAAAGAAAGAACTTCTGGACCTGAAATGAAGCTGCTGACCTCATTTTCGTAATAATGGGAAAGAAAAAGTCGAGAACATCCATGACAAGTAAACTGAGAGAAAGAACGCATATGGACAACTCGAAAATCACCAACAGTGATGAAACCTTGTCACACTGGCGCAAAGCCATAGGCAATTCCCGATACCTTCGTCAAGCTGGCTTCACCGATATCTTTGTGCGGAAAAGTATGACTTTTGAAGAGAGGCGGAAAGAATATGAGTTGAGAGAAAAGGCTAGGGAAAAAAATAAAGGGAAAGTAAAGAAGGAGTGGGTGGTTCATCGGGGCGAGGTCAAGCATGTATCTGAACTTCCAAATAGACATCCGGGAAACGTTTAGAAGCGCACGGTGGATGCGTCCCACTCTCTTGTTTTTTGGTTAATTTAGCCTAGTTAATAAAATTGCTCAGTTCCATTTCTTCATAGCTTTCAATAAACCTGACATAGTAATTATAACTGACTCATGGCTTAACCTTAGGTAAAGGACTCTGAACTCGTTGCAAACATTTCTACTCAATACACCGCTTAGATCGTACCACTAGTAGAGGCGGTGGTGTTTGCTGCTTCTTCAAAAACACGCTACACTTGCAAATGCAACCGCCCGAAGCCACTATGAAGGCAGATATTCTCAGCATGGAGATAATGTGTTTTGCTGCTAAAAGTCGTATCAGATTCGCGATAGTTTATCGACCATCCAATTCCAACAAGGATGATGATGAGAGTTTGATAGAGTATCTAACCACGCTACTCTCATCTGGAGACAAAATGATAATCCTAGGTGATTTCAATACCAGCTTGGCTGTCGCGCACTACTGCGCGCATGGTTAACATGGTACTGGTCACTGTCAGGATTACTGTGTTGCCCATAACAGTTGGCTTAATTCCCAGGTTTCGAAATACGGCCGATTGTATTGCATTTGTCTCTTTTAATGAACATTTGCCAGTGCTTATCAAAATCTGAGAACAGCCACCATTTGTTGGAAATAGGACAGCCTAGCGTTTGAAAGAGACAAATGCAATACAATCGGCCGTATTTCGAAACCTGGGAATTAAACCAAGTGTTAGTGGGCTGGGCAACACAGTAATCCC